CTTGATATTTATAATGACGAGGAATTTGATTTAAATCATATCAAAGACGGAGTACATCGAGGTTAAATACTCATTTAGTAAGGAATTATAAGCCGAATAAAATAAAAACATCTGCCCTGAAGATAACGATAGTGCTGACAGATCGACTTCCAGTTCATTGTGCGCCGCGACGTCCCCCCCCCCGCGCAGAGCAGCGTGAAATTGATAAACAGATTTCGGAACGGTTAGATAAACAAAGGATATACCTTTATCCATTTTTTGTAGCAATTCGTTTTTTGTTTGATGGACATCGAAACATACTTTCGTTTTCTAGATCCTTAGGGAGCTCCAGCATCGGAAATTCTATTTGACATAATCGAAAGTTCAAGCTTACTTCTATAAAATTGCTCTTACAGTCTGCAAAAAATAATAAGCCGGATCCAATTCGAAGATTAAGGAACAACACAATCATCAACATTAACTGAATTAGATAATTTTAGCTTATACCGTCCGTTATACATTAAACGCGCACGCGAAAACGTATTCTGCGCTTGCGCAGACGCATATGCGCAGTCGTAAATGTTTTGTGCGCACGCGTAACACGCCTATGAGTATGCGCCAACGCGGCGCATGCGCAGAAAGATTTTAGCTTTGAGGTCCGAATTATAGATCATTCCGGATTATGGGTGTCCGAATTAACGACTTTTGACTGTATTAGCTTTTGAAAAATTATCATCTTTTATGTCTCATATTTTTAGTGATAATGGAAAGTCAAAAGTAGAAGATGAAATAAGGTTATACCAGAGTGATATTGATATCACCAAAGAAATGCTTTACACATCTGATGAAAGTGGAAATCAAGTCAAGTGTACAATTGATAAATATTGGTCTAAGGTTTTTAATTTAAAAGATGTTTTCACAAATGATTATAAGTATCCTACATTGGCTAAATTGGTCAAAGCCTGCCTTAGCTGCTTCCATGGCCCATTAGTAGAAAGTGCATTCAACTTAATGGATACACTTGTCACTGACTATAGAACCTCTCTAAGATTGATTCCCTAGATGCAGTGCAGACTATTAAATATGATTAATGGCTTCTAAAGAAAACCTCATGTGAAAAATATGGCTAAAAAAATCCAATGACTGATCCAATTCACAAAGATCTCTTACTGAATATGAACAGAAGTTGGAAAACATATCAAGAGGACTTAAAAACATGTATTTCAGATGAGTCACCTATAAAAGTCTCTGAAAAACCTTCTACATTAGCAGAAAAGCAAACTGTTTCTACCTCTGCATGTGCAGTTCTCAAGGAAATTTCTTCAACTGTAAATGAGGAAAATAAAAGTCAACCTTCCTGCAGTTATGAAGTTCACCACAAAAGAAAGACAAGCCCACAAACATCAGGAAAAAAAAAAAAAGCAGCAGAAATTAGATAATTTTTTTTTTAAAGAATTAATTCAGGTAATTTAAAATATTTACATAAAATGTAGTAGTTTATATGTTTGAAAATTTATGGTTATTAATTTTGCAAAAAAAGTAATTCATTGAACTTTTATAATTAGGTTCAATACTTCATAATTGTAATTTTTCATTTCTCTCCCCCCCCCTTCTCGAAACTCCAAAATGTCGGTAGTAAGTCCGTAAAAGTTTCAGGGGATTTTTTGGGGTCCCACAAACACCCCTGAAGCTCTCACCAGGTTCTTATTGTTCCCTTTTGACTGTATTACATATTTCAGATCAGCAGCATCGTCCATGAAAGCAATGGATGTGCTTTGCGTGAAGGAACATGTACAGTTCTGTAAATTGTAAAATTTAAATCATTTTCACAGATGATAAAACAAAATACAGATTGTGAACCACAGATAAAGGAAAAAAGTTCTATTTTGCTGAAATGGCAACTTCAGAAGTATGTTCAAAAGAAGTATTTAACATAAAAAAAGATTATACGAGGAGTTTTGATTCAGATGAAGTAGTTATAGTCAAACCCCACTGTAACAAACTTCAAAGGACTGGGACTTTGGTTTGTTATATTCAGTCTTGGGGGGAGGAAACCTGGTTAGCACTGTTATATCTACCACAAGAAGTGAAAAATAAATCTAATTAAAAAGTAGCATTATGGTTTATTAACAGTTATTATTAAAATCACTATTCTTTTGAAACAATATATGTTAATAAATTTACACAATAATTTACATAGCATACAAATCATTCCTCTAATCCATCCCTTGAAGTACAAATTTATAACTAAATAATTATTTTATCCATGAAAATATAAAAACAATAAAAATGAAAAATAACAGAAAATATTAATGAATTTACCTTTAATTTTACTTAAGTTCTGAGTACAAAAATAATCCAATTTAATGCTAGCATGTTGCAAATTGCAGGAAAATTTTATTCATATTTTTGTTTAAAAATTAAAGATTCCATCACTTTTGATTCTGCAGTTTATGTGAATAAACAATAATTTTAATGAAAGGCACAGCTTTGGCATGTTTTGATAGGGAATTCACTTTGCATGTGTTGCATTGACTCAATATTTTCATCAGCGTAAGAAGACTTTTTAACATCAGCGTTTCTCAGTCTGTCACAATTACTGCATTATTTGGATCTTCACATGCTTGTTCAAAATGTTTAAAACCAGTTACTTCCTGTAATTAAACTTCTGATCACACCTCTGCCCATAAATGGCAAAAATTTCAAAATTTTTGTCATCACATCAACCTTGAATAGAGCTCTGTCTGATAGGTCAATCAAAGAATTTGAATGGAATTGGAGAATCCATTGGTATTCTTTGGTTCGATGGTCGATGTACACAGTATATGATGTTCTAAGATACTGTGTCTTTTTTCTCCTAGAATTAGGTTCACACATGTTTTGCATAGCATTTATTTAAAACATATAGGAAAGTGTGAGTGAAGTTAAAAGAAAAATAACATAGGGTGTTTTCTTTTATAAATGGAATGTGGATTCTAACATCCTTTATGTGGGTAATGTTGAGGTTAGTATTTAAGGTAAAATAACACACATAACAGATATTATTGTAGAAGTCAAACAAAAATCAATCAGCATTATATTTGTAAATTTTCACAGGACTATTTATAGCGGTTTTACCAAACTATCATCCTCAGCTCCCAAAGTTCAAATGAACAATATAATTTATAGTGATAAGATAAGAATAGCTGGACAGGAGTTAAGCTACTGGCACCATCTTTTGATGAAACAGGAAAACTAAAACATAATTTCCTTAAAGGCTGAAGGTAAAGATGGATTGGAATTAGGGTTGTTAACTAAAACAGAAAGATTTTTTTTTTTGGGGGGGGGGGGGAATGTGAAACGCTTCTAGAAAATTAATTCGCTAATGGAAGATTTATTTTGAATAATTTTGGCTACAGAAAAATTAAAACCGTGATTTTTCAGACCAACAATGCTAGGCAACTGAGAACTTCTCCGTTTCCTTTTTCAAAGCATGTGCCTCATGTTCCTTAATATGAAATTTTAAAGCTCTATTAGTTTGACCAATGTAAATTAAACCACACTAGCAAGGAATCCTGTAAATACCCTAGGAATTCATATCCTTAATGGGATCCTTAAGTATGGAACTCGGAATTTTATTGATAGGAGAATAAACAATGTACAGTTTTATAGCTAATTGATGGGAAGAAAGAAATGACAATAGAATTGTTATGATCTCCTAAAACAAAAGTGTGCCTTTTGGTGTGTTGAGATGATAATTTTTTAACTGCTTGGTTAATAATGTTGGGTGAAAACCTTCTATCAAGAGCCAGTTTGGAGCCAAAAATTGAATTTGATTATTTTAGACTGAGAAATTATATTTGATTATTTGAAACTTTTAACTTTATGGTATGGTTCTGCTACGTACGTACACGATACTTTTATCCTGTTTGACGGTATTAAGATGATTTAAATAAAGTTCTTTCCATAATGAATTCCATTGATCTTGTTATTCAGTTCACTTTTGAACTTGAGACATGCAATTCTCTTCTGTTCCTCGACATCTTGGTCACACATAACACATCCAACTTCAGTTTTATGGTTTACTATAAACCTTCATCGGTTTGCCTTCTGCCAGACTTCAAATTATGTCATCCGACTAAACAGAAGTTAGCTTCATTTTATTGCTTTGTTTTCCATGTGCTTCAGGTTTGCACCTCCGAATTGGCTCTTGATCAAGAATTAAATTATTTAAAAGCAGTAGCTATTGACAGGAGGTTTTCACCCAGCATTTTTGACCAAGCAGTTAAAAAATTCTCATCTCAACACACCAAAAGGCACACTCTTTTTTTAGGAGATTACAAGAATTTTGTTGTCATTCCTTTCTATCCATCAGTTAGCTATTAAATTGCCCATATTTTACAGAAGTTTAACTTTTGAGTCATTTATTCTCCTATTAATAAAATTCTGAGGTCTGCACTTAAAGACTCCATTCCATGTATGAATTCCTGGGGTATTTATAGGATTCCTTGCCATTGTGGTTTAATTTACATTAGCCAAACTAAGAGAGCCTTAAAATTTCACATTAAGGAACATGAGGCATATGTTTTGAAAAAGGAAACTGAGAAGTTTTCTGTTTGGTCAGCATTGTTGGTCCAAAAATCACACTTTCCTCTTTTTTTTTTTTTTCAGCCAAAATTATTCAAAAAACATCTTCCATTGGTGAATTAGATTTTCTAGAGGCGTTTCATATTAAAAAAACAAAAATATTTCTAGCCAGTACCTGCCATATTACTTCCTCAGGATTGTCACTAATTTTATATAATTTTATAGTGTATGTTACTTATTACACATGGAAAAAACCATGAAAATGCCCATATTTGCCAGGATTCGAACCCCAGACTGAATTGCCAGTATTCAACATCTCGAAGAATGTTAATACAACTGTTTCAGAATAGAATAAAGACATTTTACCAGTACCTCTTTTGCAACATTTTTAACGACCATTCTGTTCTTTAACTTAATTCTGATGCAATATTTGCTTTAAAAATTATTCTCAAATTATTGTAATATATAACTGAATTATGTTTCAATTTTAGAGGCACCATGTCTTAAAGAGACTTTGGCTTTTATATCCTGCCTAAAGGACAATAATAATCTTCAAGAAATGTGTATTGCTGAAAGTAAAGCTGTTCAGAACTGTTATGGTAATCATCTGGTGAGAGCATTTTTGTTACTGTCTAAATGATTTTACCACTGAGGTTTTTGATAAAAATTTTTAAAGTTTGCTCCCATCCATTTTAAATGTAGAGTGTTCCATTGCATTTTGGAAGTAGATATTTATTTCAAAAATCAATTTCTATGGATTATAAATTTAATATCTTCACATCTGTGATCAGAGTATTATTCTGTCTTCTTTGAATTGGAAATCTTTGTTTTAATGAATCCTCCTTTCTCAAGATAGTAGCTGAGCACTTATTTTATTAATTTCTTTCATAGGGATTTGTAGCTATAGCCACCACTAAATAATTATTGCTGGAGGTATCTATCTCACTGTTTTCTGTCATAAACAACATCTAATTTTTGAGGAAGGTTGTCATTGTGTGCAGCAAGGTGTTTTTGTGCGCAGAATGTTTATATTTTGTTATAGAAAAATTCTTAATTTTAATTATTTAGGAGTTATGAATTTAATATCCACCACTGAGTGTATTATGCAGATTATATCCTCTAATAATATTCTTAACGTAGTGTATGTTAAAGTTAATATTTGCTCATATAACATAACCTTAATTAAGCACTCTTTCATTTGCTTGATTAATAGTGATGTGTATTTGCATATTATTACATATTACTTCTATTTAACCATGTATGGGCTATTATGTATGTTTTTATATCAACTGCAAATGATTTCAATAAAACCTTCCTCAGTTAACTCCCTCTTAAATTGCCAAATAAGTCTAATTATTTGGCCCATTTGCCTATCATTTAACCAAACCCCATTTACCAGTTTCAGCTAGCTATTAAATTCTGGAACCCCTACATAAGAAATATTTCATTTTTATTTAACCATTAATTATTCAAATCTTAAACTGATTAGGCTGTAAAAATTGTAGTTTTGTTATCACTTGTTCTTCTGATATCTGACATCCATAAGACTCCAGTCTTAGATTACTTTTATCTGAGTAACCTACCTAAATAATTACAGAATTATTTTAGTGTCAGTTAAATTCTAATAAATTCCTTGATTAAATTTTTTTCCATTTCCATGAATTAAATTCTGGTTCTCTTAATATTTTAATTTTAGTTTCCTTTTTTATTATCCCTACCCCCAGCAGTGGCCAAGTGGTAATGACCTCTGAATACTGATTGTTTGATCTGGTTTGTTTCCAAGCCCATGGTAAATGGACTGCCTGCATGGTTAGATTTCATAGTTTTTCCTATGTGTAATGTGAATATGAAGCAGTTTTCCTCAGAAAGTCCTCCACGAAGGTATCCATTCTTTTAGGCAGATAGCCCTTGTGGCTAACCTAACTTTAGCATCCCTAACATTATTTACTATCCTCGACTTGACATTGATATTAGTAAACTTGTCTCATAATTCCCCACTTCAAATCCTGAATCCCCTAAAATTTTAGATTGGTAGCACATTCAGAGAAGCAACTACAGTGTCATTATTTTATTCATTTACCGGTATTTTATCATTAGGTATTTTCACCAAGTGTTCGGTACATCACAATATATTGCATTACTCAATGTAATTATTATTAGACGATGTATTCCAGTGTTAGTGCTCAAGTATAAGAGCTCAGTACACAAAACATTCCAGTGTATAATATCTATACTTCAGTATTATGTTATCTCTGTTATTCTAGAAATTTTCAATCTCGAGAATCTGTCTCTTAATGTAGTAAATCTTGGCTAACCTAACTTAACCTAACTTTAGCATCCCTAACATTATTTACTATCCTCCACTTGACACTGATATTAGTAAACTTGTCTCATAATTCCCCACTTCAAATCCTGAATCCCCTTAAATTTTAGGCTGGTAGCATATTCATTGAAGCAACTACAATGTCATTATTCATTTACAGTGTATTTTATATCATCATTAGGTATTATCACCAAGTGTTCGGTACATCACAATATATTGCATTACTCAATGTAATTATTATTAGATGATGTATTCCAGTGTTAGAGCTGATAAGTTATTAGCAGCATTCTGTCAGCAATAACTCTGAAAGATTATTTTGTTAATTTGTATGTGTTGAATCTGTTATCATGCACATTTTGTTTGTTTATAGTAATTAATTAGCATACAATTATTATTTAATATAATTATGATTTTGATCAATTTGTTTGGTGAATATACTAGTTTTTAACAGAGCTAATTCGATTTATCTGGTCACTTAATGTTTGTTCTGTTTAATCGCAACAAGTATTTAACTTACTTAATTAACTATTTACAATGACATCAGTATCTTATTTGCTCACTTCTCCAAAATCTACATTTCTGATGATTTAAGGGCTACCTTAACAAATTCATCAAGCATAATAGTCAGCTTTATGTAACATAGTAAGTAGATTAATTAGGAACTTAGCACAGTGCTTCCTATTTTGCTTTAGGGCAAGTATTCTGAGTATATCAACATGCAGCTTTTAGTTGTTTTATACTTTCCCAATACCATTGCAATGTTTGTCATTGAAGCTGTCACAGAAATGAAAGGTGCTGTTCCACCCAGTCCCATAATGATAAATTGTCCCACACAGGCAAACAATCCTACCTCCACTACCGAACTCAACCATTGTATACAACTTGTCAAAATGCCTCATGACACATGTGATAAACTTGTGATGACAGATCCACTCATATAAGTACTCAACGAAGTCAAGGACTTGATACTTCCAATATACTGATAATAGACACAGCCCCAGCAATAGTAAATCACACGGTGTGAACAACAAGCAAGTCTCCAGATACACAGGTAACAAAAGTGCAAAAGTGTCTCCCAACATATTTAATACCATGAGGAAAGCTCCAAAGCCAACATTACTTATCTTCTTAAAGGGGAAGACACCAGTGAACAGCTATGTGGTAAACTATTAGCAGTAGCACCACTGTACACTTTGAGTATACTAATCACCACAGGGTGGGAAATTCTGAATTAAGGACTTGCTGTCAAGTGTCAAAGAACTCAAGATCTGGAAAAACTCACTACCTTTTTTGAACACCAATGCAGCAGAATCATTACCACAATGTCAAATAGATCAATGAGTATCAATTGCAGGCATATGACAAGCTTATGCAATGTAGAACAGTCTTTTTTACAAGCGGTACATCCAGCTATGGCACTCAATTTGGGTAAGACACATTGTTCATAATACATTAACTGCATTAGGCACAACCACAAATATAGGGTTCATCCCCTCCTAAGAATACTCCCCTAACTGCACAACCTACGGGGTTTATGTTAATTATATCCAATGATATAATTAACATAATAATATATAACACCAGCATAGCCATAGAAATGGCTTACAATGAAAATATCAAATGCATCCAGATAAACCTCCAAACAGGACAAGTAGCAACAGGAGAGGCAGTTAAATAAGGATTCAAAATAACATAGACATAATTCTAGCATTAAGAACTTTTCTCACAAGTTCCAAACAGACCACAGGTTTTTCTCTAAGATGGAGTGTATTCCAAACTGCAATCCATCAAGAGGAGAGGCACAAAGGAGAGTGAGTATTTGCTGCAAGCCAGACTAATTTCCATTGATTATCAAGCAAGAGTGAGATCGAGTAGATATTTTAATAGAAACAAATTTTACACAAAATAGCCACAGGAAAAGTTTACAAACCAATATATCTTCCAAGCAGCGTTCTAAGAGAAAACAACTCTAAATAACAGGAAGTACACAGCTTCATCCAATATCAGTTTCTGTTCCATTCATTCCAGTTTCTGTTCCATTATCTGAAAGCTCCAAAAAGGAAGTATGTTTTAAAGGGTTTATAGGATTTTATTTATTTTTTTCCCTCTTAATTCCTATTCTGTAATTAAACAAGGGCCTTCTATATTCAAAGTCATTATGATAAGCCCATGACTAAATTTTGTCTAAATTTTGAAGAATTTTGCTCTTCTAACAGTAATTCCTGTACTTTCTTTTTCAAGCTTCCTTTTACCTTTTTTTTGTAATTTTAAATAAAAAAAAAATTTAAAGAAATTCAACTTTATGGATTTTTCTACTCATATCTGCAAAACAATTATTTAAAACTTTTTACCACTTTTTGGGCATTTTTTGAGTCTACTATTTTAAAAGAATAATTGATTTTAAAATTTAATTAAAGTTTTACACTGAATGATTTTTGCTATTCCCATTTTTGTTTTAAAGGAGTCAGTGAAAAAAATAATAATATCACTAGAAAATTAAATGAGATTCTTGTATAAAGAGCTTGTTGTCCAGATTTTTGTTATTTTTATTCACATAACATAACAAAAACATATTAGACTGAAAAAACCCAAGCGTAATTAATCCGAGAAACGGGAAATCAAAAACTAGCCTAGTAAGCAAAAATATCTGTTACATATAATTCTAAAGCTTTGTTTACATAAACATTTATTGTTAAGCCAGCCGGGAAAGAATTCAGGCAACTGCAAATCACGTCGTCTGATCACATGATCATTTTATTTTTAACAGATTGTTCCCTCATGAACCACAGGGGATTCATCAAACTTTTATATAAACAATATACATTCATACTACAAAAACATTCAAGTTCTAGACACAAGGGAAAAAATATATCTCATCTAAATAACTGAGAATTTAAATAGAACATTAGGCAGTTTAAATATAACATTATCCAAATTCAAAAAAACAATATTCACCTTTTTTAGAAGATTATTCAATGGCCCCCTAAGAAAGCATACCGTGACTCTGTGAACTTGAGCACATTTTAAATTATTAAATTTGTGCATGGAAGTTACTAGAATTACTAAATTTAAATAAATAATTCAAAAAATAATAAACAGCCATATAAAGATATACTCACAATACATATTTGTAAATTAACACTGAAGATAAAACTTTAGTTCTGAAGTTCTAAATTGTACAAAAGTTGTACAGGAGGTCTGATAACCAGTGAGTCAGTTTTTATCTTGCAAGCCCTTACCTTGCCATCTCTTCCAGGAAATAACTCAAGGATTCTCCCCAATCTCCA